AGTAGAAAAAGAAACATTTTATATATATTCTCATTATCATGTCATTTAAAAGTTTTATAATATTATTAGTTTATCTAACGGGGAATTTCTATGTCATTAAAAAAATAAGAAAAATTTCAGCGGTATTAATTTAACGAAATTAACCTACAGAGGAATAAAAATTATGTAATTTTTAAAATTGAAGGAGGGAAAAAATTTTAAAAAAAGTTGAAGAACAAAACTATGCATAATTTTAAAATTAAAAGACTAAAATTAATATTTAACCTTTTAAGTTCAGCTCAGCGGTTAGCCAACTGAATTCTTATCTCTATTGTTACAAAATTTTGTAACTTTATCATATTGGATAAAGACATACTCTGCTTTGTGGTTGATGCTGAATTGGTAAACTTCATTGGAATTTTCTGTAGGGCCAAATACATTGACCTTCCAAAAGTTATATATTTTATTATTTATTAAGAGTTTTGTTAGTGTACTATTAAAATTATCAAATATCATTAAAATTGATAAAAATTATTAATTTTAATGACATAAATAATAAATAATTATCAATTTTAACAATATAAATAATAAAAATTATCAATTTTAATAATACACTAATAAAAATTATTAATGTATAATAAAATATATAATTTTAAAAGATGTACGTATCATTTTCCTTTTCTAAAACATCACGTGCTTTTCAGTCATACTCAATTGACAGATTCCGGGTTAAACTTTTCGTTTATATAGTCATTACTAACCCGCAATCGAAAGTCAGATTTTATGTAATTTTTCCTTGACTTCTGGCATGTTAGAAAAGATAGATTAAAATTCAAATGTGATTATACTTGAATGAAAAAGATTGATTGGGAGTTTTTATTGTTAAAAAGGTTACAATGAAACATTTTCTCATGGTTAAAAGTCCGTTTATGAGATAACTTAATCTTCTCTGGCTTTGATAGTAAACAGCATGAGAACCATTCAGCGCAAGCACATAGAGCCAATCTCCAGTGTCAACCTAGTTTGCTTGCACTCGAGAACTAAATAATTAAAATTATTTTAGTTTTTTTTATTAGGTTAAACTCCTAATTTGGTCTTTGAATTATTATACAGATTTTGAATTTGGTTCCTAAACTAAAATTTTTTGATTTGATCTCAAAATTATTGTACAGACTTTCGATTTGATCATACTATTTATCAATTTGTCTAAAGTTGGTCCTTGCGTACAAAAAAAAACTGATGTGCCATTTATTTAATGACGAAAAACAATAACTTAACCACCACGTGTCATATTAATAATAAAACATGTTAATAACAAAATATATCAGTTAGTTTTTGTATGAAAGGATCAACTTGAGATAAATTAATAAATAATAAGAATCAAATCGAGGGTCCGCATAATAATTTAAAAACCAAATTAAGAATTTAACCTTTTTTTTTTGCACTAAATACCCCAATGTTTGGAAGCTAGCCCCCATTAATCTAGAGTTAAGTAAGAAGAGATCTAATATAAGAAAGTTTTCCTACTCTTAGTCTTTGTCTCTCCATTTATAATATTTAAATTTAAAACTTTATTTTTAAAAAAAATCAAATTTCTTCCACTTAAATCAATAAATCAATTATTAAAATTATTTTAGTTCATCTCAACTGACAAAGAAAACTCAAGCAAAACAATTCAAAGACGTGTATACTTTTGGTACCATACGTAATTTCCAATCATCCAGCATCCAAGTTTTCAGAGACCAAGTCCTTGGGAGACTAAAACCCCAATTCTAAATCTTCAAATCCACGACTGGGACAACATTATTTTAGTACTGATAAATCTTCCATTTTCAGACCTTTCATATGGTTTTGCCTCATTGCATATATAATAGGGCAACTACTAGCTACCCTATTGGTCCGTGCATAATGCTTCAAGGCTCTCTTGAACACATCAGGTTGTGTTTGGTCATTCTTCTAGGTTTTCCCAATGCATCCATCACTCCACCTGATCTTCTTTGCTCTTGACACGACTACTTTTGCTTTTAAACTCTATTTCACTTGTGGTTCCTATGAAGGACATCAAAATCAAAAGAATAACATGGTTTTTATTTGTTTTCTAAACCGTAGGTTATGATCAATTAACATTTTTCTTTTAC